TCATTGCTGGCTGTCAGACAGGGGTAGTTCTCATCTTATAGAGGCCTCCCAAGGACCCTAACACATGGTCCAATTGTCTTCAAAGCCAGCAACAGCCATTTGGTGTCTTCTCAGCCTCACCTCTCTCTGCTTCCACTTCTTCACTTGTGCTTCATCTCCTTTCCCAAACCTTTTTGCCCAAAGGGTCCATATGATTAATATTGGGCCCAATAGGATTATTTATGGTCATCTCCTTCTCTTAAAGTCAATAACCTTAATTCTACAGGCAAAAATATTTTATCCATATTCAAAGGTTCTAGAACTAGAATGTGGGCATATTTTAGAGGGAGGACATTATTCAGCTTGGCATACACCTCAATTTCTCTGATACTGAATGTGATTAGCTCTATAACCAAGGCATTTGAAGGGCTGATTCCAATTGGGAAATGATAAACAGAGAAAATCAGATGGAAGGCAAAACTTTAAATACCTGATTCTAATTTGAATCATGGAAAATTAATAAAGAATACTTTTTAATTTTCTGATTAATTTGATAACTACCTAGCCATTTGGATGGTGACTAAGGATTGAAAATCAGTGGCTCTTTCTACTGGCACTTGGTCAGCCCATGGAAATCAGCCCTTTGTTCATGGCAGGTGCAGGTTTGTCTTGGGCAAGTTAATTTAAAGGTAATAAAAATATGTGAAAAGACATGTAATTTAAGATCATGGCACCTTCCTAAATGAGCCAGATTTTGTTTGGTGTATATGAAAAATTAAAGTAGGGGTCTAAAAGGCCTATAAGAAAAGTTTTCTCATTCTTTTTGGTACAATCTGACATCAGCATATAGATAACTTCATTAATTATTGAGAAAAAGACTAAGAAAGAAAAATGACTGATTGGGATGCTTCATTTCAAAGGCTGAATTTGAAGCCCATGGGTTCAACATACCTATAGGTATAAATCCTTTAAAGTTAGCTCTTGCCATCCCACTGGCTCATCTATTTAAATTTCTTGTTTTTAAAAAAGGTACTTAAAAATTTTTAATCCACTATCAAACAACAGAATGTGATGCTAAAATATGAAAGAACTGCATATATCTGAAGGTAAGAACAAGGCCTCTATAGGTACATACCACTCAAGAAGAAGCAGGGGAAATTATTTTGAATTTAAAATACTGATTTCTCTCAGGGGTTAAGTGTTCATGACTTTCAATGGCTTTTTGTTTTCACAGCTATTTCTATTCTCTTCTGTATTCTAAAGTGCAGTAATGAATTTCTAAGATCTTTCATTTCCATCTAAAGTCCCGTCTTGTTTGTTTCCATAAAGGTCATGGACTCCTGGTTGACAATCTAGAACTGTTCTGAAGAATTGAGATAAAAGGGATAATGAATGAATGTTCATTTACACGTCATTAATTAGCCTCTGTGCTTTTGTGACACTAAGATTTAGAGATAAATAATATGGGAACCACAGCTGGTTAAATAATGAAACCTGGTTCACTTAATAATGTGTCATAATCCCAACTGGGAACTCCTTTCAAATAGTTTAGGTAAATACTAATGTTCAAAGCACATGTCATTTTAAGGGACCATTTCTTAAAGTAAATATGAATGGTTTTCTTACATTTTAAAGAATTACTCAAGTACTCAAATCCTATTATAAAGATGCTGTCATTGCCATGTAAGCATCACATTAGTAATATCTTTCAAGCTGTTCAATGCTAGACATTTTGTATTAGTTCCCAAGGTCATTACCTCTGGGTTAATTGCAAATTAATATCATTAGAAATGTTTTTAGATTCTATATAATCTTGTTTTAAACTGTTCTTTATTTCCTCACCTCAGACCCTTTATACTTGCTTCACAATGCTTTCCTTCCTAAAAGATATTCTTCCATGTAGATAAACTGCGTAGTGCTTTAAGTTAATTTCCACCTCTAAATACAGTCAGGTGCCTTAATATGTCCTTAATTCTGTATATATGGTTTCTATCTAGAAAAAGAATTTAAAGTGGCTTGTGTATTTATGGATAAAGAGAGAATGGAGGAAATATAAAAGAAGTCAATGTAGGTTTTGCCTGTTAGCCCAAGCTAACTGGATCTATGATCCAATGTAATATTATAATATTTAGAAAATTTGAGGTAATTGAAGAAAAAATATTCTAAATAATTTCTAATATTATTATTCTGATAAAAAATTCTGAGATTATCTTTATTTAAACAAGTATTCTGACATTTTTTTAAGTGGTAAGGAAAATTTTATTTGAGAATATTGAGATGGGTGTCAAAACTATGGCAAAAAGAAGAGAGAGAAATTGGTTTCATTCTGAAAACAGTGGACAGCTAGGGATTTATAGGAAAGGAGCAATGGGAGAATTACTAAGAGGAGACATGAAAGGTAGGCGAGATGCACTTACTAAATTGTACTGTGTGCGCCAATTAACTAGTCCTGTCCTCTATTGTACTGTTAGCTCCTTGAAGGATAGGCCATTTTTTGCCTAAGTTATTTTTGAATAAAAGAATATAAAACTCTGCACATAAACTCAAATTTAAGTGGCATTTGTTCCTGTCTACTCACCACCACATCTCAGGCTAGTCCACTTTCTTCAGTATAATGCAACCTCTCTTATAGTTGTTGAAAAGCATAACACATTCCTAACTCCCTCAATCCTCATGGATTTCTTCCAGGTTGCTTTCCTTCATAAAATACCTTCCTCCTGTCATTTTTTGTTCTGCTAATGTATTATAATACACCAAGTCCAGGAAGTTTCAGGAGAGATACTTCTTGAAACTGGATTCTAAGCTGCCTCCATTTTTTTCTCTTTCACTAATCCAAATTGTGAAGTAATATCACAATTTATGGATTTATAAGCATCTCTAAGGTTTTTATTTATTATTTCTTTTCTTAATAAAATATATGAGAACAAAAGATCATGTCAGTTTTATTCATTAACATGTACCACACCCTCATCATTGTTCCAGACTCTTAATAGACTCTTTAGAGAATTCTTAAGCAAGAATAAAAATCCATATATTTGTATAATTTTCAATGCATATAAATTATATACTCAGTGTGTTTATGATTTTTGTGATTTTTAATAATATAAAACTAAAAAATCCTTTGATATACTCTAACCCTTTTCTTCTTACATTGGGGAAAATATGAGCTTAGGGAATATGAATCAGGCTCTCACTTGCCCAAGAGCACCTGGTTTTTATAAGTATGCAAACATTTTCCCTGTTTTGCCGAAAAAAATGTACTTGCCAGATCTGGATCTCCCCCAGGGAATGTTCCATTTCCTGTCTTCACTATTGTAGTGTGTGTCGTACAAGAGCACATCCAAAACGTATATGCACTCCTGAGAAACCAAGCAGTATGAGAAACTGCTCTTCAAATTCAGTTTTATCAAAACCAGAAGTCAAAGAAATTTTAGTGAATATTTTAAATTACCCATTTATATGGAAAATTATAGGTTGAGAGAACAGTTTTTGCAATTATTTGTTTTATCTTATAGCTCTTTTTTTGTTGAGATGAGTGCAACATATCTCAAAAAAACTATTTGAATATCTTCAAGCCAAATTTGAAATTTTGTTATTTGATAATATATATGTATATATTAACAAAATTAAATCTAGTTGTTTTAAAATTTGTACAAAAATATATAGCTGTTAAAGTCTAGGAAATACTAAGCATTCCTTTTTCATAGCTATTAAAAAGTAGTTATAAAATTAAATAGTATTAAATTGTCATTTCAGCTAATTATTTGAGCATATGAATAGGGTGAAACTGCCAACTAAATCAATTAAAATATACTTTATCTTCCTTTTCCAATTGCTAAAGTGATTTTTGCATGGAAATATTACTGCAATTAGAATTAATTAATCACATAATAGGAGTAATGGACAGCTGAAAGTAGATAAAAAGGGACTATACCCCTTTTTCCTCTAAAATTTCTTTGCAAAGACTGCTCCATGAGAAGTAAAAACATGACATTCTCTTACCCAATATTTTATACTACTTTTTATAACAATACTCAGTTTCATTCTGAGAAGCTATGCAAAACTCCTTAGAATATAGAAAAAATTTCTATGACTATAAACTTCCAAGTTACTAGCAACAGAGCAGCTGAAAATTATAACATTGTGTTTGATGACTGTCATTTCAAATGGCTTTTGAAAAATCTGTTTGGATTAATAAAATGTATTCAATAAAGGGTTAATGTATCAATTATTTCTATAATATTTAATATTTTAGAGTATTAGTATGCTTATATTGCAATAGATCTATATATTTAGAGTCCACCCCTCATTTAAACTCCTGACACTGTAAGTATGACTTGAAATTTTCCAAAAACATAGGGATAAAAAGAAGGAAAATACATTGTTCATAATATGAGATATAAGTATTACAATGTGTTAATTAATAAAATGTATTTGCCTTCTAACAAACATTTATCTTGAAAACTTCTGAGATTAGATCTGGGGAAAGGAAATATTAGGATGAAACATCTAGATAAACCATACAAAAAAAAAATCTTCAACTTTTCTCTAATGAAATTGTTTTGTCATTTGCTAATTTCCTTTGAATTTCTCTTTCCATATTAATTTTTAAAGAACTGAAAGTATTATCTCCAACACTTCCTTTCAAAAAAATAGTGAACAAAAATTTGCTTTCTCTAGCGTACATAAAGCTTTTCAAATCAAAGTTCTTCTTCATATGTGTGTTAATCTTATTATGGGCAGCAGATGATGCTCACCAATCTGTAGATGTGATTATAACATCTGAAGAATTTTGTGCTAACCAAAATCTGGCAGTTGTACAACCTGCCATGTATACCAGCAAGGTTCAGTGATACTATAAAGTTCAGCCATATAATTCATTTGTCGAAGTCTATCAGAGGGTTTGTATAGTGTTATATACACACATTTATATCATGATTTTTTGGCTTCTACTTTTATTGAAATCTCTACTCCTTGCTTTTTGTCATGATCTCTTTTCTGAAATTAATATATCTCCTCAGGTTAATCTCTTGGCTTTTGGATTTATCATATACAAAGTTTTTCGTCACACTGCTGGGTTGAAACCAGAAGTTAGTTGCTATGAGAACATAAGGTAATTGTTTCTTCAAGTTCACTTACTTTAGTAATTAAAATCTTTAGTAACTTTTTTGCCTCACATATGCTAAGCAAACACTGGACCACTGAGCAACAAACCCAGCCCTTTAACAACTGAAAGTACAAATAATTTTTGGAATTATTGGCTTTTAAATGATTAACTCATACTTTCTTTTATTGCACTTAAAATATGCATTGAAACAAAGCCCTTAATATGTTTAATAAGACTATAATCACCATAGATTAAATAGTAAGTGAAGCAATCTTTTCAAATGTACTCCCCTTTGAAAAAGAAAAGATGATGGCTGTGTTAAGACAAAAAATAAGTCTTAGTGATTTTCTTTTGGTAAAACATTTCTGAGCTTAGTAAATGTTTCTTCCATGTAATTCCTAGTTTGTACGTTGCCATTATTTTTTCCTGTAACCCCTCTCTTTAAACTGATTTATTGAGGCCTTGAAAATGTTTTGTTCAGGAAAAGCTCAAGTATACTACAGGGAACTTGGGAAACAACTGGCTGTTTGTGTTGCTTGGGAACACTCCTGTAGTTTCAATACCTTGCAGAAGATTTATAGTTGGGATTTAGCAAATGTTTGATCGATTACTTTCTTTTAGTCCTCAACATTCAGTTTCATGTAGTGTGCTGGTTTTAATAAAGTTGAAAATGACTCATTTTCTGAGGCATGCTGCTGAAACACTTTCTGCAGTAAAGAATGACCAGACTGAAAACAAATGAGAAAATCATCATTAGTTGCTTCATTTTCAAGGCAATGTCCTCAGTGAGAATGACTGAATATTGTTTTACCAAATGTCACTATAAATTCAGTTGAAATATATATGAGTATGTGAGTGTATTTTTCCTTTACTTTTTAAGAAATCAGTGCATAAGTTACAGTGAAATAAGTTACAGTGCAGTAACTGCATTGTAAAAGAAAAAAAGTCTAGAAGCCTCCTTCAATGTCACAAACATGTGCTGACCAAACCCCACATGGGATGCTCTCCAAGCTTTCTTAGGGAAACACTTCCTAAGAGGTAGATTATATGTGTCTTACCTTTGGGAATCACTGTCATGTTAAGTTCAAAATCAAAGCATACACGTCAGTATACCAGTTAAAATATCTTAAGATTAAATAATTCCTTTAAAAATGTCATGTATTAACAGTGGAACCTTAATTTTGGAAGCACTTTCTGCCAAAGTGTGGTAACATACTCTTTAGGGTATGCTAAAAGCTGTCCCATCAAACTGTACAACTTGTCAGTTTCTAAGTCATTAATGGATCTTGTAGGTTTCTTGGTTATATAAAAGATTTACTTCCTACCTAACTCAAGGAATTTGGGAAACATGGAATGTGCATGTTTTTGTTAACTGAAACATCCTAAATACATTCTAGGTCTTGTGCAAGAGGAGCCCTTGCTCTCCTGTTCCTTCTTGGCACCACCTGGATCTTTGGGGTTCTCCATGTGGTGCATGCATCTGTGGTGACAGCTTACCTCTTCACTGTCAGTAATGCCTTCCAAGGCATGTTCATTTTCTTATTCCTCTGTGTTTTATCCAGAAAGGTAAGTATTCTTTTTTCATTTTGGTCAACACTCTAGTATATTCATGTAGCATCAGTTTCCAAACTGATAGAAAATTCTTAGTGCCTCAGGTTTATGACTTCTGCTTTTATTGCCTAAATGCAGTGCATTTTGGTATTAAAATAATCAGAACATTTAGTTGTTCATAGATAAGTATGTTTTTAAAAAATATAAGATGCCATACAACTGATGAATGGATCAAGAAATTGTGGTATATATAAACAATGGAGTTTTACTCAGCCATAAGGAATAATCACATGTGGTTTGAAGGTAAATGGATGCAATTGGAGGACATCATGTTAAGCAAACTAAGCTAGGACACACAAAGGCCACATGTTTTCTCTAATGTGGAAAATAGATCCAAAAGATAAACATATGCACAAAAACAAGCATGACCATATACAAACTAATATGTAGAACATGTTTGTAAGAGTGGAAATACTCTTTGGAACTAAGGAAAAGAGAATGATAGAGCATCAGTAATAGAAAACACAACATCTGTGAAGATAGAGAATATAAGGATGAGTATTGAAAGCTACTGAATAATGAGGGGTGGGAAGAAGGTAAAGGGATAAAGGAGAGTAACAGAAGGGTTGAATGGACCAAAGTAAAGTATATGCATAGTGGGGATGCATGGAGAAACCTCTTTGAACATCAACTTAAATATTAATAATGAAAGATTGGACAGTGTGTGCTTAGAGGGTACTAGTGGGAGGGTAGAAGGTGAATGAAGGAAATTAAGATGAGCATACATGGTTGATGCACATATATACTTATATAAAACAGAACAAAGAAACCTCTTGCAATTGCTTTAAGTGTGGCAGGGATGGGGTTGAGGGGGAGAGATGATGGGGGTGATCTACCCAATGTACAACATAAACAATTCAGAATTGTCACTATGAATTCCCCTCCCCATATAATGAATATATCCTAATAAAAGAATTTTTTAAAATTTTCTGCGAGACATGTAGCTATAAATTATATTCACTTGATCATATTCTCATAATCAGAATGTAATAATGCTTTTAAAAAACCAAAAAAAATTATTGTGACTTAAAAATAATTTAATGTGATTGTCATGATCATGTGTAACATTTCTTCTTTTCTTTTTTTTTCAAGATCCAAGAAGAATATTATAGATTGTTCAAAAATGTCCCTTGTTGTTTTGGATGTTTAAGGTAAAGATAGAGAATTATGGATAATTATAACTGCAAAGAAATTAAAAATACAAGCTGTGGATGACTGATGTATAAAAATCACTCAATCTTATTATGCAGTTATTAATTACTATTTTAAATCTGTTTTTCAGTTTATAGATTAAGAACTGAGGATAATTAGGTAAAATTATGTGTTCATGTAGATATAGTATATTTTCCTACCTGACATAGTTATGTGAAAAATAGTACTGCAGATATTTGGAAAGTAATTGGTTTCTCAGGAGTGATATCACTGCCCCAAGGAAAGATTTTCTTTCTACCACAAGAAATATATGAAAGTCCTAAAGTAAACCACCGACTTGATATTTTTGTGACTCATGTGTCCTTTGAAATGGGTCCCTATCACCTTGGTAATGAGTTCCAAAACCAAAAATGGAACATGAGAGAATGAAGGGGCAGAATATCAAACAGTAAAAAGAAAATGGCTACTATAACAATGAGATGTACTTTGAATAAACTTGTTTTCTATAAACTACATGAGAAGTTTTTGAAATAAGATGAAGAATTGAATACACATATCTTACCATTTTGTAAATTGTTCTGAGCTTAAATTTCTACTGAAACCATATAGACCTCTATTTGCTCCATCACTTTTCTAATATTGTAAAAAAAGAAAAATAAAAAAGCAGAGATATCTGTTTTTAAGTTAATATTTTATTGAGGTATATGGTGTTTCTACCCTTATTTCACAAGTCATGACTTCAGATACATAATCAGTGAAATATAAGTGTGTCAAAATATAATATTGTTTTTGCCTGTTAGTGTAAAAATAGTGTATATAAAACTGAAGCATTTTATTCTATAACCTTTCAGTGTAGTGAAAATTATCCTGTCATACAGACTAGTATATTACAATGCTTTATTATTTTTAATTTTGGAAATATAATTCATATTGCAATATTTCCTTTTAATTTACCATTTTTAAAAGGGCATTGTAAATATGAAAGTATTCATAAAGTGAATTGCTATTTTTTCTGTTCAGAAAAGTACACATTTAAAAATGTTATTTATAACAAAGAAATCACCAAGAACTATAGTTTTCACAGTAGTTATTTTCTGACAGTTTTTTATTATCTATTAAAAAGTATCTGCTTAAATATATGGTTTCTATCTTTTCTCAAACCATTTCATAAAAATGAAGAAGCAGTAATTTTATTTCAAAAATATGTAATTGTTCTGCACCTACCTGCAAAAGTGTACCAATCCATTGAATGTCGTTATTTCATATTAATTTCTGTAGCTGTTAAAATGAAGTCTGTCAAATCTTTCTCTGAAAAATAAAATGTTATTTAAACGAAGCAATCCTGCTACTGCTTTAGTAAGTTATTTTTTTCAAGGAAGATGATCTTCCAATAAGCTCAAACATTTTTAGAGCATCTGTGATAACTTTTCATTATTTCTCCTAATTTCTTACATGCTAAGCCCAGGACCTATTATTGCCATTGTCATTACAAGATAGTGTTATAAGAATGTGACACTGAAAAACTAATCTTTTCAATCAATGTATACAAAACTGTGTGTGGTGGGCAGAATAACGAATGGCCTTCAAAAATATCATGCCCTAATCTTCAGAATTTGTGAATATGTTAGACTACATGGTGAGGAGAATGAAGGCTGTAGATGGAATTAATGTTGCTAATCAGCTGACCTTGAGATGGAGAAATGATTCTCTCGACTATCCAAGAGTTGCTCCTTATAAGTGAAAGAGGGAGACAAAAGAGTCTGAGTGTCACAGTGATGCAGCCTGACAGATTTTACCAGCCATTACTGGCTTTGAAGTAGATGATGTTCACAGAATGCTGGTAGCCTCTGGGAGCTGACAAAAACAAGGAAATGGATTCTTCCCTAGAGCCTCCAGAAGGAAATCAGCACTGCTTATACTGTTATTTTAGCCCAGGGTTACCCATTTTGGACTTCTAACTTCCAGAACTATAAGGTAATAAAATTTATATTTTTAAGCCCCTAAGTTTGTGATAATGTGTTACAGCAGTCAGGGGAAACTAAGACTATGAGAATATTTACATATGACATTTTTGGAGACAAGCTATTATTTACATCACGAGGGAAAATCTTATCACCATTTACAAATTTCTCTGTGTCTGGATTATCCTCCTTGTGACAATCATTAGTCTGACAAACATCTACTTATCCTTAATATATTTTTCTTTGTAATACCTTCCTAGCTTTCACAAGGAATTCATCATTTCTACTCTTGTGTCATATCTATTTAACATTTATCACACTGCCTTGCAATTATTTACCCTAACTCAGGGCATACATTGTGCTATTTTGTTCCTCCTTAGAAGCAGGTACATTTTCTCTTTTTGGTTTTCTGAATTGCAGTGACTTATCTTCTGCTATGTCATAACCACAGGATTGCTGTCACTACAGGTCAAAAGACTGAGCAGTCTGGCTGTTCTAGACTCTTGCTTTAAGTATTCCATACTGGAAACCTGCTTGAACCAGCCTCCCATTCATTCTCACACACATCACACAGTTAGGTGGGGAGAGAGAGACAGACCAGCAATCTCAAACTAATGTAGAGAAGGCAGAGGCATTGGACCACCAATAGAGTCTTGAGCTTGTACTATGCTTCACGTCAGATTTTCCAGGAAAGGCCTTCTGTGAAGATTTGAAAGGAGCTTGCCAGACTAATAAAGTAGTGCTTCATTTTCTGTGTGGCTCATGTGATAGTGAGTGGGGTAAATATTAGGATACAGACTCAATCTCCTCAACCCATAAAATATACCAAATTTACACAAATACTTCACAGTCTGCATGCTTAGCATACATGAAATTTTAATGTCTTTTCTACATATGCATGCAATTTGAAATAAGTACATATAATACTTTTAGATAAAGTGATTTCCTCTTTTTCTGTGTTTATCCTTTTCCCATAATTTATGATGACATAATTTTTAGTCCTTTACAATTCAATGCCAGCCATTCAAAATTAAACAATGACTGTATTTCTTAATTTCCTACATATTCCATCGTACTATATTCATCTTAAGTGTCCTACAAAATATGACCCTTTTATATGTCAACATTATTGTCTAATTACTTAAAATGAAACTTTCAGGACAACATGAGTTCAGAATAGATGCATAAAGAGTACCCCATTGTCTGGTTTTTCTTGTACCTGGAATGTCTTCCCATACAAATTGTACCTACCATTACTGGTCCCCCTCTATGCAGCCTTTCTGATCGATTTGTTTTTATTAATTTCTCCAATAACTAACTATAATACTAGCAGAGTACATATGATAGTAAAGCACTTACTAAGATCCATTATGATGTAGTCATTCTGTGCTCAAGCTTAAAGTCCCTAAGTCTTACATTATAGTTGCTAGAGAAATAACTTAGTAGTGGCATTTAAAGATAAAAACATGCCTTCCTTGAAAGTTGATGCAGATTTCTGTTGTTAAATTGTGGCATCTCAATTCTCACAGTAACATTGGCAATTCTATCATTTTTCAATGTGAAAAGTGTTTTATTTCATGCAGCTAGGAAATTTCAGAGTTAGTGCTAAAACTGAAAACCCTAGCAAATTCCACACCCCCATCCAAGCTCTGAGAGACTGGCTGGGGAGGAAATAGAAAAGGCTAGACTCATACCTAGGCTTTTTTACATTTCCACATACTCTATAACTATCAGTTTGTATAGTGTAAAGAACATGTATTATGTTCTCTAGGGAGTGGAGGAAGCATGACACACTTTTTCTAACATGGAATTTTAACATGTCTTTTCTACGTATGCATGCACTTTGAAATAAGTACATATCATATTTTTAGATAAAGTGATTTCCTCTTTTTCTCTGTTTATATTTTTCCCACACACTTATTTCTACCCCCACTCCCTACTCGTACTCTCAACCAGACAATTCATTTTAACAAACCACTATGTATTCCTGCTTTTATCACTTAATACCTCATTTATTCTTTTTTAGTGTCTAAGTAATATTCCATATTGAGAGTGAATCATATGTTTAACAGCTGTTATTCTGTCTGGATTAATACAATAATATATTAGAAGACTTCAGTGCCTCTCTAAAATAGCATTGTCTATGCCATAGGACTCAGGTTTCTTGCTGAAAAAGGTAAACACTAACATTTTTTCGTATAATAGGTGTGGACTCATGTTAATAAAACCAAAAGACTAACTGTTATGGTTTGGAGAAGTATCCCCAAAAAGCTCATGAGTTTTAGGCTTTATTTCCTGCCCATCATGCTAGTGGAGATGGAAGAACATTTGAGAAGAGGGGCCCAGTGGGGAGGAATTTGGGTTATCAGGGACATGCTCTTCAAGGGGATTGTGGGAGTCTGGTCACTTCCTCTTCTTCTCTTACTTGCATCTTGCAGCCATGAAGAGAGTAGATTGATCCTTGAAATGATATGATGCCTTGCCAGAGCAACGCAGTCAACAGATCAGGACTGCAACCTTTAAAAGTACGAGCTAAAGTAAACCTTTCCTCTTTTTCAAGTCCATTATCTCAGGTAGGTTGTTACAGTAATACAAAACTGCCTAATACAATAACCCTTCTCCATGTAAGGGTTGCATGTGAGTTTTTGCGAGTATTCAGTGAAAACAACACCATGAATTTAAGATCCACAAGTCTCCTTGAACATTTTCATTTTAAGTGAAAAGGATTTGAATTATTTACCATAGATTGTTGGCTTCAGTGAGCATTAAGATCAGTAAGCAATCTGAGTATGGAACAATATGCTTGGTATTTTATTCAGATGTTATATCATGTAAGTTTGTACAATAGTTATGATTAATATAAAATGAGAGGTTAGCTTAATTATGATAGATCTCTTCTAGGGCCAATATCTCATGTTTCTAATTTCAACCACCCACTTTGAGGCATGGTAAATAATAAAAATCTATAAAGCATGTTACAATTTTATGTGCTCAGAAATAAGAGAAAAAATAATAGGTTTCTTTTAAAATTGTCCTTTAGAAATGTGGTTCCATTTCTTATTGGGCTGCAATTTGCCATGAATCAGTGTCTAAGAGCCAGGCTGCTCAAGCTGAAAATGATTATTTTCTTTCTTTTCCTTAATGTATCGGAAGTGGATCTAAAAGAACCAACAGTATGCAGAGGGGTTAATTATCCTGGCAGTCAGTTAAGCTTTGAAAGTTTTAGGTGATAAGAACAGAGCCCTAAGAAAGACTCCCTGCTACTGCAGCTTGCTGTGAGGAAACAGTTATGTGTTGCCACCACTGCAAATATTGCTCAAATTACCCTAAAATTCTCTTGCTTTTCTGTGCATCCTAGCTCCTGCAGAGTGGCTCTGTGCTAGTGAGGTCATTTATTCTGTCACTTCAACCCACTCAGCAATCATGACAACTACATCTTTCAGTTAATTTAACGCAGAAGGCTTTTCTGAAAGACCCCCATGACCTGCGTGGGGGAAGTGATTATTCAAAACAACATTGCTTCTCATTCCTCTAGTGCCACCAACTCCTCTGCAGAACCACCTAAATGTGCCCCAATTTGATCTTCCTCTCAGATCAATTTCTCAGATTTTCTTAAAGGAATGTGTAAATAAACAATCACTCTCACATCATGGAGGT